TCAATGTATGTGCGTAGGTTGTTCCAGTTCGTTGCGTTTGTTACCAGCATATTTATCGGTGATTGGTTTATCACATGGGTGGATAAAGTTGCAATTACAGGTGTGTGATCAGACGATAGTTCATGGTTAGATTCTTTCTGAATGTAATTTTGTAATACCTTTGCGGATGAAAAAGACCAAGAGGTCTGGTAGCTTGTCATAATCGCTTGGCCAATACGTTGGTTCACCCGCGGAGAGGTGGTTAAAATTTCGTCTATTCACTGCTTCCAGAAGGTTTCTTCCTTTAGTTGTAATGAGTCTTGCTCCCCATGAATCTTGATTCCCACGTCGTTACTAGGCACCGAATCTGTAAGCACGTTTCCGATGCAACAATTTCACATGCAAGAGTAACCAGATGGACAGTTGTTACTAAGCAAGGAATCTGTAAACACGTCTAATCAACAATTACACATGCGAAAGTATACAACTGATTTCTATGCGGTGCGTGCATACCAAGTAAACTGCTTAGCAGCGGCGAATAAACAGTCGTTTCTATGTAAGGTCTACAACATTAGGTGATTATGAGAGGAAATCGGTTGATTGCCAACAGCAAGCCATAAACCATTCGCTGCCTAGCAACGGCTGAACCAAGAGTGAATCGAGTTCTAGCCAACCGCAAGCCATAAACCATTTGCTGCCTAGCAACGGCTGAATAAACAGCCGTTGCTAGGCAAAGTCTGCAACAATAGAGACAGTGACATGTTTACTATAGGTCCGACTCTAGGTTATATAAGAACATAGAGTGACTAGAAATTCTGAGTTCTAGTACAGAGTTGTGCTACAGTAAAACGTTCAAGGTGTCACAGAATTCACTGTTGTTATTAATCTTGAAACTCAAGTTCGTCTGTGCAAGTGGTTGTCTCTTCATATAACGACATCCCACAGTAATATTAGAAAGCGACATATTAGGCNTTATATTCAGCAGGTAAGTGAAGTGAGATATACTGCAGAAAATATAAGCATTTCATGTAAAGGTAATTTACATAACTGGCTCCTGAGCGTTAAGGGCGATGAGTTCTTGAAATGTGACACAGTAAAACTCTTAAAATCTGTACCTCATTTTTAAGAATTACGCCTTAAAAACGTTCAATTCTTCATATACTGCTCGCTGATTCCATATACTTGGAAATTTAATGAATTAGCTGAACAAGTCAACGTGGGGCCAATCAAAATCTGCCACGTAACTTCTATATGTCATTTTACATTGCTGGACCTACCGAACTTCCTCGGACCTTCCTCCGTCTTTCGAAGGAAATCAACATGTGAACAAAAGGCACTAATTCCCTTTTCCATCCCCCCTCACCCACCCAAAACAAGCATGTTCACTACGTTGATTTGACGCCTCAGTAACAAAAGACAAACCGTTCTCAGCTCTGTTTATTTGCTTTTAATAACTCGATGGGACTCATCTGGTTTGAAACGCCGTATTAAAAAGACTTTGTTATTTCTTCTGAAACTCGCTTAATTAACGAACTAATATAAAAAGCAGTAGGCATTTCTACATGTATGGCAAGTGCATCGATGTAACGTTAAAAGTAACACGTGAGACATCAATGGTAAAAATGTACGACAATGTAGTATATAAAAATTAGAACAATTTGTACACTTTCCGTACTTTGAAGAAAGTAGTGAGGCTTATGAGATCATATTGTTGTCTGTCCCCCCGCCCCCCCTCAAACCTTGACGTTGGAGTTATGGAACCAGGAGAGACTATCGTTACTAGGCAACGAATCTTTAATCACTTCTCCGCAACAGTTACCCATGAGAAATTGTAAAAACTGTTTTCTCTGCGGTCCGTCCTTACCAAATAAACTATTGACCGTCAGTCGCAATGTGACTTGGACTTGGACTACCCAATTATCACGACTTTGTATGGCTTCCGCTTGTTGCCTGTATAATTTTGTTATATAAATGTACACGTATGGAATTTTGAAAGCCATGTGACTTTGACTTTGACTTTGATTAGCAGATCAATTGTTTTATATTTTCAGCTGACGAAGGATTTAGTTCATCCACGACAATCAAAATGGAAACAACATCCTGGTGGCAACTGCAATCGGAGGTCTATACAGATGGCGTACAGTTTGATAAACTGGTGGTAAGTTTCACAGACTCAAATATTTCTATGTAAGTTGCTCAATCATACGAAATTACAACTAACGCTTGTCTAACTTCTGTTCTTATATTTGTTGCAGTTGAACTTCATCTTCTATATTATAGTTTTTCTGATACAAACATACGTTGAAAACAAATTTCAACGGAGGTGGAAAGGGTAAGTTCAAGATCATGCCCTACATTCACTGTCACAAAGCTAAGTTTTTAGCGTAGTTAACATTGCTGCACCAATTCAGACAGGGGGAGAGATTTGTCTCTTCTCCGTAGCATCAAGACCGCACTTGGGCTCACTCAGTTTCCTACATCATTCAAATTGTGCGGGGTGAGGGGGCTTTAAATTTCTTTAAGCCGATTGGGCGGTGAAGCTCAAGTTATCAGTAACGTCGACCATACAACGTCAAATGGTACGATCAACAATGGATCATGAATTCAAAGGATTGGTAGTGGCCTAGTTTGTTGTATTATCGCGGTATTTTCCCCGAGAGACAGAAAGAAACAACAAACACCTAAATAAGGACAGGCGATTCCCTACGTGAAATTCGAAAAAATTGCCCAATGCAAGTCAATTGTTAGGGATTTGACTCTAACAGGCTGATTTCATGTTAACGGACTGGACTTGTAATCGGGTGTTTCATGGCTTCAATATTCTTCACTTCGTCCAGCGAAATGCCAGGGCAATGCTGGGCCATTGCCGCCTGCTTCCAAATCCTATCAAATCAACGACCATCCATCATCGAAAACTTCGGTGCCATAAAGTCTGTGCTATTGCAAGTGTTGCAAATGGCACGTTAAAATATAGTGCTTTTGTCACCCTGTTCGGTATGACACACGTCCATCTTGTGCCGAGATTAATACGTGATTTTGACGTTACTCAATTAATTAAACACAGATGAAAGTCTATTTCAATCTGTAAGCACTGTCTACTAAGTGGCGTGTAGTCATTTATTTCTCTATACAAGTCTCTAATATTCTTGTACTTACCGTTCGTCAGAAGCTCATCAACTTTGTCTTTCAGATATTCCCTTTTTAGCGGCCCTATAGTCTAGAGGTAACGTTCCCACTTCATGACTCTTGGTACTCGGGTTCAAACCCGGCGGAAGTCTTGGAATTTTTGACGGCGGAAAAATTCAGGGAATAAGTCCTCCGGGATGGACTTTAAGCCGTGGGTCCCGTGTCGTAGCTTTACGGCACGTAAAAGAACCTCATATCTCCAAAGAAGTTCACTGAGCCAAATTGAAGGACGTTTCCCGCCCAACAGTAGTCTCTAACGCCTCTGAGAGATGGGGGAAGCATTACAGATACCGCCAAGCCAGTAGGGGCCGAAGTCGCTGACTGGGTCCGAACTGATGGTACGCACGAATTTCGGTAGGGTATAGAGGCTGGTAGAATATCATAGAAGGAAGCACAATAGATCAAACAGATCGCGGTGCATGCGGGAACCTATCCTCTCCAATAACTAACTAACTAACTAACTAACTAATTATTCCCTCTTTTTATTCCTGAAATATCTGCTGGTTTCTCATCTTATATTGTTCACATTTTACACATTAATTTAGCTTGGATTCCCTAACCACTGCAGTTTGTCTGTTTTCCTTTGGTCTCATAATTCTGAGCACCCTTCATCGAACCATGGGTTACGCTTCTTCAGTTCATGAAACCTAGACTTTCATTGCCAGAAATTTTTATGATTACAACCTCACACAGCATAAACGTTGTTCAAAGTAAAGAACTCACAGAAAACGCACCCCTTGTGCATTACAAACACATGCTTGTTAGGGAAGTCTTGATCTTCATTCTGACTACTGTATGAAACAAGGAGATTAATAACTATTCCTTTCTATCTACAGGAGGAAGAACAGAACAAGTTAAGTAGAAAATCTTAGTTGTTTAAAAAGACAAATATTTACGACGAAGTATTAAAGAATATATGGATATCAAGTGTTGTACGGCCTGAACTTCTACCACTACCTCGAACAGTGATGATAATCTTCATATGAGTAATTCAACCTCTCCTGTGAGTGTTTGGTTCAACAGCGTCGAGCAACTCGTGTCAACCTGAGCCACCGGCTGTCAGCATGACCCTGGACGCGTCCCAATCTCCAAGCTAAGCCAACGCAAATCTCGACTGTTAAGCAGAAACAATTCCTCCGAATCTGTAGTTAGTTACTTCCCGGAAATTACTGCTTGCGCCTGGTGATGCTCGTTTATTTAATTCCTAGTTCCGCCTTGGCAGAAACATTAGAATCACCTCAGAAGTCATTCCAATCTACGAACACAACCCATCACCCAACTCCTCCGACATGTGATGACCAACGATTAAGATATGCCTCACTTCAGGACGTCCCTGGGTATGGAGGGGATGGAGTCACAGAAATCCGGGGGTAACTGCGTAATGAGAAGTTGTACTACTGGTGTGGTCGGATCAAGATGGAGGTGGATATCACATGTAGCACGCACGAGAGAGTTGAGAAATGTACACAAATTTTCAGCAGGAAAACCTGAAGAAAAAAGTACTTGGAAAACGTAAGTATAGATGGAAGAAAGATACGCTTTATCACATTGGCTGTGAAGGCAAGAAATAGATTTAATCAGTATACCGACAGAATCTGTGGCTGCAGTAATGAACTTTGAGGTTCCATTATACTTTTAGCCGCGATTTCAACAACGTGTACTACCTTCTTTAATAACTCAGAACTGGATCTCTAAATGAGAAACAACGGGTTTTTATCTCCTCATGATTTTCCTGAACTGTAGAATTTATTGCTGTTGGTGTTAGTTGCAGAGTTTAGCGTCAGGTGGCAGTGGGATAGGCAACTATGCCTAGGTCGGTACTGACATGTCAACTTTTGCAGAAAATAGATCGTCATTTACAGTGCCGTATGTACTCAGACAGATTGGCATATAATGTTCCTATGAATGGATCAGTGGAGGTGTTATCTGTGGGAACTGCAGTTGGGGGTCACGGATCCGCCCTTCCCTTCCATTTGAGATCATGCAGAATGACTTGCAGCTGGTTGAGCCGTGTTTTCTTTTCGGACGGCCCGTATCCTCGCGCTGCTCCACCCCCGAGGCGTCCAAGTCGAGGCACATGAGATCATCCCATTCACCACGTGAGCTTTTCCTCTTCCAGGATCTGAAATCTAGACGCCTGCATGTAGAGATGTAGACAGTCCAGCAGTCAGTTGCTTACCGTCGGTCGGCGAAGTGGCTCACTAAATTTTGTTGCACTCTGCGCTCCGGCCGTTAAAGACAAGGTTGCCCCTTGTCTCAACCGTAATGTAACGTTTCTTTCCTCTGAGATGTTCCGACAAAGTTTGGGGTACTGAATTACCATTTATTATGCTACTGTCCCAATTATTTGTTTGCAATTATGTGCGGTATAATCGGGTAACACTGATATCGGGGGTTGTTTCGCAATGTAGCGCGTAATCTCTTGAGTTGTCTTGGTCTGACGCATCTGAGTGATTTCGTGATGTTATTCGGGCCGGCCAAGGAGGCCTTGGTTTTCATGTCTTGAAATGTTCTATTATACTGTGGATCTGTTCATTTCGATTTTAAAAGCATGCACTTAGCATGGGCTTGGTCGAGCCATATCTCAATCGGTTAGTCACTGGCTTCCCACCGCGTCGGCCCGGGTTCGATCCCGGGTCTAGTCAAGTGAGATTTGTGGTGGACAAAGTGGCGCTGGGGCAGGTCTTCTCCGAGTACTTCGGTTTCCCCTGACATTCTTCATTCCACCAATTGCTCCGCAATCACGCTCATATATCATCTGGGGTGGTACAATAGGCCAGAAGTGGCCGCAGTACAAGGGACTTATTCCCACCGCACTAGCAATAGAAAAAATAGCATGGGCCTTACTGTAGGCAATAAACGCAGGTTTCATGTAGAGTTGATTAGCGGATCTCTAATCAGACGCGAGAATGAAGTTCTGCCCGCTCTCGTGTGCTGCTAGTGTGACGTCAATTAAAACAAACCGGGATATAAAAGGAAGCTTAATCAGGTTTAATCCCACTGTCCAAATGAAAGAGGCAAGCAGCGGGGTACACATCGCTGCGTCACATTTCAATATCAGTGAGATTCTCGCAATTCAGTACACGACACTACAAACCCAATGCATTGATATATTTAATAACGAAAGTTAGTAACCTAACCCAGCAGGGTGGTCTAGAGTTCTAATCTCGGCCTGGACATTGGATATTCTGAGGTTCTTCGTAGCTTTTCTCAGTCCTCCTAAGCAAATACCTGAATAGTTCCTCTATTAGGCTACGACCACGTCCTTGGAAATACATTCCACACGGCCTGATTCATCTCTCAGCCTAACAGCCACTGCTACGGGCCTACAGACGCGGGTTAAATGATGCACGCAATAATAAACGACTTTGTCAAAGCTGTATCAGGCAATGGCTGTATCCACACTGCTGTACGGACCCTG